TGTTTGTTGTCAGCCAAACACAGCGACAAGAAGCTCCACTTTGGTCTCATCAGACCAGAAACACTTCTTCCGTTTGACTTCTGTCTTCTTGTAAACTCTAGTCCAGCTCTTTTATGACCATTTTTGGTTTTCTCTCTGCCACTCTCCTATAAAGCTTTGACCTAAACAACCCCAACAGTTGAAAAGATTCTACGCTCCTCAGTGCCACTGAGAAGCCGTGACTGACTCAGCTGTGACCAGCAGTCACGTGACAACGAGAGATTTCTCGGGTGAACTGCAGGCAGTGTTTTCATAGAGCAGAAAGGATACAACGAGAGAGACTGAGAGGAAAATAAAACTCAATGGATCAACAAAATAAATGCAGCATGGCTCAGAAACAGCGAACAGAGGAGCAAGTTGTTGGAAGGTACGTTCAGCATCCTTCTACAGCTGACGTACGGAGTAGAGAGGAAAAGTTGATATGAAGATGTAAGCAACAAAACATCGACAGTAAACGGAGCCACAGTTATTTTTTTCAACGTCGGTAACACCTGTGGACGCTTGGAAACGTGTTGAGTCCAGGCTTTATGCATTTTGGTGAAATAAACAACCAAAGAAATTCAATTCATTTTGTCTGATGGCATTATAACTGTGTCATACGCGGTTATGACATGGTTATAATTAGCTTTTAGCATTGGCTTTTTTAGGTTTAAGGCATTTTTCATTGTACACCATTATAACCAGCCTCCTCGTAATTATATGAAAATAATTTCCTATATCAAAGTATACAGTTTAATATAATAACAACATCAATATTTCAAACATGTAGTTTGTATAGTTATCAGTACAGTTGTCGTTTTTCCACGCAGCCTGTGTTTTATCAGTTTAACTAAACTGAACTGCAGGTTAGATGGATTTATTGGTGCATGTGGGTTCATGAGGATTAGTTTGACCCGGTTCAGGTCACATATAATCAGCCAGGAAGGTCACACATGAGTCCCAGACGTGTGCACACACACCAACACAAGTCTACACCACCAAGTACCTTCACTTTAAAGCTTTTCCGAGGTGTAATTATCTGCGAATCACACAACCTGAAACCTGCTAACTTTACAGCTGCACTCCTGCCAGCTGCAGCAGAGCAGCTCAGATGTCACAACGAGATGCTTTTTTTTTGTAGGGAAATAAAGCGTTTCGGGAGCCGACACGCTGCCTGTTAGTGTCCTGAATCTGGCGCATTAACCTCACAGCGTCGTTCATTCACAAAAACGCAGAGTCTGTGTTTTAAAATACATTTTTTAAGAGGTTAAAACGAGCAAAGCTAACTCACCTTCTGTCACACTGCAGCGTTGGGTTGCTGTTAGGTCAGCGGAGGCGTGCCTGTGTCCCTACCGGGATAAAAAATCGTATTCAAAATTAACATGAGGATTTTTTTGGCAATTATTATAACAATAAAATTCAGATTTATGGGTGTAGAGTTAAAAAAAAAAAATCTAATAGAATAGAAAAGGCGCTGAAAAGTCGTATTTCTGCCCAGGCGCTGCTCGGTCAGGCTTAATAAAGGGTCCTGAAGCTCAAACGGTCGCGGAGGGAGCATTGCATGATGGCGGCGTCCACACGAACCCAGGTGATCTCTCTTTACCGGACGATGCTCAGGGAGAGCCAGAAGTTCTCCTCGTACAACTACAGGTAGGAGAGAGTGTCTGGCGGGTGCTTGCGATGCTACAGGCCGGGTTTAGAGCGCTGTCAGCGGCGGGAAACATGCTAACGGCGCGGCTAGCGGTTGTGTTTACATTAGCTTACTGACAGGCGCGCCGTCACGTAACTGTTATTGAACAGAGGCTCTGTGTGTCGTGGTGTCTGTTGATGTGGTTTGTTAGAAAATGATAATGAGTGTGTTGAGACTCAAGTTTAAAGCCTTCTACAGTAAAAATAAATAAGTAATTAAAAAATGAGCAATTCTTGCTTTCGGTTCAGTGTCTGTAGCTTTAAATGCTGCTATAAAAGAAATATTTTCGCGGTAGAGCTGCTGTTGGGTTATAAGTCTGAAGTGACAGAAACAA